TGGATCTTGCTCTTCATCACCATCATCATTTGTTTCAGAATCATTATCATCATCATCATCATCATTTCACTATCATCTTATGACATTAATAGAGAAATTATTAAAATTATGTATGTTTACAGTTGCATATTAAGGTCATTTATTTACCTCTAAATATATCACAAAATTCTGGAACACTTTCAGAATCTTCTAATTTAGAGAGCAAAACTACTTGAGTATCATTATAAATATTACAAACATCAATTGGCCGATGACTATCGAGAATAAAAAAAGTGATGTCTTCCTCCGGTTCAATAATTTCAACTAAGTCTAAAGTTCCTCCGCAATTTATAAAAATAACATATTTTTCATCAGCGCGATGTTCATCAAATAATGACTTAAGATCTTCGACGAAATCAACAACTACTAACGTATAAGAAATGTAATCAGTTCTAAATAATGCTTGTAATATTTTACAAGCACATATTGCATCTACATCATAATTCACTATAACTAAAACTCTCTAAAATAATAAAAATGAAAAATAATACTCATTAATTCAATTTTAAAAGCAATGCAAAGTGTTACATAAATATTATTTCACTTTAAACTACTTGGTTATTGAGTGCACATTTTTCAATTTTTTTAAAATAATCACCTACGAAAATAATAAAAATATTAATGAAAAATCGCACCGTACCTGTCCTTTAAGTTTAGCGTAAAAATCTATTCGCAAATCATCAGCAAACATTTCAGGATTAAAATGAACCCACGGATAAACTAAAAGACGACATGCTTGTGTTTTGATTACTTTGGCGGTTAAGTGTATTGCCAACTGCTTTTTTATTTACGTTTAATAAATTTTTTACCTTTTTTCCTTTGGCATTTCTATTTAAAAAACCTAACCTTAAAATGGCGACAAACATACTGAAACTTGAAGACGTATTACAAATAAATAATAAAACTTTAGATGAAAATACGAAGGAATCACCTGATAAAGAAAATACTGAAAAATCTAAAAAGAAAGGTAATAAACGTAAACGAAAAAGAAATAAATTGACAGAAGTGCAAGTAGAAATACCGAAAGGTGCACGGGTTTCTGGACGAGTATGGAAAAGTGAAAAGAAAAGGTAGTTATTACAATTGTTTTGTTAAATTACTTTTACTAATTTAAAATAAAAAAAAGAATAAAGTAGTTATTTTATGGTAAATACATTTTAACCAAACTTTTATACATTTATTTATTCATTTATTAATATTTCATGTTTTGTTTTCAAGGTTTTCATCAATAATAAAAACTAGAGGTTATAAAATTGCAAACAATTTTAAAAAATTACAAAATTTAAAAAATGAAGTTAATAGAGTTAGAGACCTCACTAAAAAAATTGTAGAAGAAAAAAAGAGGAAAATTGAAGAGAAGAAAGAAAGAAGGAAACGTAATTTACAGAAAAAAGAAGAAAATAGGTTAAAATCGGAAATTGTTCAAGTTATAAGAAATCCATCTAAATTAAAACGAATGAAGAAAAAACATTTAAGAAATATTGAAAAACGTGACACATTGAATATGAAATAACAAAATACATGAACACTATGTTATTTTCATCATATTATTTATCGATTTTCACATTTTGAAAATTTTATATGTCAAAGTTTTAAAACCAGAAATAATATTTTTATGTATATAATGTATGTTTATGAATACAATTATATAAAAGTTTCACAAATGGGAAAAATAAATTTTTTAGAATATTTCCTTTGATAAATATTTGATATGATGTTGCACACAAAATTGCAAGGACAAAATACTTAAAGTATTTTTTTACTTTTTCCAAGTAACATACCTAAAATATTTTTTAAATTCTATTTTACCTATTCGTCATATTTAAAAAGAAAACTTTATTGAATTTTAAGTATGTTAAAACAATAATTATGTTGATTATTTCTCTGAAAAGAACTATTAACTTATTTTCTTTTTAAAAAATTTATCTAAAATTCTATAATATTAGATTTTTTTAATGTTCGACATCAAAAAAAATTTTTACTTTTCGACTTACAAAACATTATTATTTTTAATACAGTCAATATTATTATTATTATTATTTATTTTATAACAAAATATTTATGTTAATTATATAAAATTTATAAATGATAAAGAGAATATTTAAAAAATTAAATTAATAAACTAGTTTTAATGAAATGGAATGAATGTCATACAATGATTCCCTTAGAAAATTTATCGAATAAAATAGAAAAAAAACATTTTTAAAAAGAAAATTAAATTTGTCATTTATTTAAAAGAACACACCTTTAAAATAAAATCTTAAAAATTTAATTTTTTTTTTTTTTCTTTATTTAATAATAAAGATATTTACGACTTTACTAAAAGGAAATATTAATAATAATAATAATATTTTTTAGATTCCATAAAATTTTTCTTTTTTTTTTTTTTTTAGATAAAAATTAAAGAGTTATATTTAAAAAGAAATTAAAAACTCATTAATAAATTAAATGTTAAATAAATTTAAAATTTAAATCCGTCATTAGTAATTTAAATAATAATAATAATGATAATAATTATCATATTTAAAATCCTTTAAAATTAAACTTATTAACTTTAAAAAAAAATTTTCTTAGTTTTTCCTTAGTTTTTTCCCTTTTCCTCTCCCTCCCCTCTTCCCCTCTTTAAGTTTATATTATTTTTAAATATAAATGTTTATAATAATACATAAAGTTTTGATGTGAATGAATGAATGAATGACTGAATGAGTGAATGTAATTTTTTGTTTTAAATAAAAATATTCTTTTTTTTTTTTTTTTATAATTTCATGGGAAGCCATTTTCTTTCATCAAATTTTCTTTTGATGTATAATAAACTAGATTTTTATTTTAATTTTTTTTTCTCTCTCTCTCTCTCTCTCTCCCCATTTTTTTTTATATATTTAAAATAATATATTATTTAATATTATTATTATTATTTCGTATAAAAAATAAACGTAAATAATATTGACGTTTATAATAATAATAAATAATAAGGAATTTTTTTTTTTTGTAAATTTTTAATTTCGACAGGGTTCGTCACCTTTTTTTTCTTTTCAAAAATAATTAAAATTTTAATTTTCAAAATGAAAAATGATTTTCTATCTCTTTCTCTCTCTCAGAAAAAAATTATTTTCACATTCGTTGAAAACAAAAAAAATTTTGATGTTTTAAATAAACATCCCGGAAGAAGAAATTATTCATAATAAATTCTTTCACGTTTGTTTTTTTTTTTTTTTTTCTCTTTAAATTATTTTCTTAGAAAGTTCAAAATGAATCAACAAAATATCAAATCAAAAAAAAAAATTGAAATAAAGTCACGAATCCTTTTCCTGTCGTTTATAAATATTATTCCTTATTTATATTTTTAATTTTGTGAGTAATCAATGATTTCATTCAATAACAACAACAACAACAAAATTCTTTTTTTTAACTTTTATTTTAATTTTAATTTTTATTAATAAAGTTTTTATTAAAAAGAAACCCCGTTGGAAAGTTGGGGGTGGGATTGATGGAGGATGGGAGGAATAGGGTGGGGAGGAAAATGAAATCAATAAATTTTTTTTTAAAACTATTTTTTTGAATTTTTTTCCCCACCCATTTTTTCTATTATGATAATAAGTTAAGTATTAAAAGGGAGAAAAAAATTATTATTATTATTATTATTATCACCCGCAATCACGTGGATTTGTTTTAATGTTTATCGGAGCTTTTTCAATATTTTACCCGATCCCTAAGGAATAAATGCCTGAATATTGTAGGGATGCTGATGGGTTAGGTTTCGTCTTGTTATAACCTATGACGTCGCAACAATTCTCGTAAGTCTTTCTGATACCATCTTATTCGATGGGAATTATTATTATTATGGTCACTCTTAAACACGACAAGGTTCTTCTTATTTGTCGGGGTTTTTAGGAATTTATTCAAGGTTTCTACCCGACGATTCCTTAGGGATAATTGCTCGAATTTCGTTGGTGCTATTTACGAAGAATGTGGGCCGTCCCACATAGTGCGATTTCCTGGATGGTTTCTTCTTTTAGGTTCTTCAAAATCTTCTTTAAATTTTCTTTTATTGAATGTGGCATGGCTCCCAGTGCTCCCACGATGACCGTGCTTCCCCCACAGATTCGTTCCTTTAGCATTTTGTCTGCTTCTTTGGCTCTCTGGTGTTTTTTTCTACCAGTACGGATACTTCAATCAGCTTTCACATTGTGCCTCAGGATGATATCCGGTTTGTTGGCTAGCACAGTTTTGTCAGTGTGAATTTGTTGATCATACAGAACTGTTATTATTATTATTATTATTATTATTACCTTTAGAAATTTAAATAGAAAATTTATATGGAAACATAAAGTGGGTTGTGTGTTCGAATCGTACCTCTCGTAAATACACGAGAGTAAATTACAATTAAAAATTTTCCTTACAAACTTATTATTATTATTATCAAGTGGAAATATGTAAACTTTTTAAAATAATTTTTTTTTTATAACAAGTAACAATCTAACAAAATTTCAAATAATTCAAATAAAAGTTAATTTAATTTTATTTACG